GATCTGCCCGCAGCTGATCTTCGCCGGAATCTGGCCATCTTTCATGCGCCAAAGCTTTGCCTGAATGTTCGAAAGGAAGGAACTTACCTTGTGCGAGGTTCGCCAACCGCAGCGTGTGGTTGCCACTGGGTTCGTCTCTCTGGCCGAGTTGTTACAACAGGGTTGAAAGAATGTGTCCTGAACACAAGGTCCAAGCCATGAATCAAAGTTCGCGTCTCCTGGCGTGTTGATACAAAAGGGTGTATTCACACATCGCACACAGTTCGCACGGTGGGCGAGAGATCAGCAGGCTCAGAGTCGAACTGGAGGTTGCAGTGCTCTTGGATCCATGTGCATCTAAATGCATTGTGCTGTGATGGGTGAATCCTACAACGTATGGGAGATTCCCTTCCCCTGGATCCTGTCCTTGCGACCCTGTGTGTCATCTGTCTAGACCAACGCTTTCTTGTCTTGCCTTTTCTTCAAACAATTTGAACAATTGTATCCATGGCAGTAACATGGACACCGAACAGCGATCATGGTGTTTGTTTCGACTGCCGTCAAAAAATTCGACAGGATTTTTTCCTCTGGCAACATTGCAAGGATCTCACTCGCAATTCTTGAAATGAAAGACCACTCAAGCCCCCACATCACAAGCACAAACAACTGACACATGTCGTAAACGAGGTGGTGAAATTCTGCTGGGTGTTTTTAAAAATGTGTTTGCCATCACAGGGTAAAGCAGTGCACTTGCAACTTGAAGACGATGACGAAAACCGTTCGGGGGCATCGAGCCTGCAAGCATCCAATTACTGCTGTCAACAAAAGTTGTAATCTGTTTGGCACTTGGAAAACTGTAAACACTAAGCAGAGCTGAGGCTGAACTTATTGTTTTATTTAAGAGCGTGCAGTTTCACCACAGACCTTTCATAATTACTGTGGAGCCCACAATGTGCTTGCCAGTGTCGGATTCATGAGTTTGATGGAAAACGTCCTGTCAGTTGCATTGCAGTTCTATTGCTTGTTGCTGAGAGAGATTTCGCATTGACAGTAGCATTTAAGGAACCTGTATAGCCAAACGTGTTGGTGGAAATTTCCATGAAGTTAATAAGATTGCTAGGTATTGTGGGGTATTTTGGGTCGTATGATGCCTCCCCCCATCACACAGATTCCCCTAAACCCCAAACCTATGGCGCCAGGCCTGGTGCGATCGCGCATGTGGCATCATGCAACCCAAGATACTTGTGGGGTATATACGAAGTTGCTGTGGTCAGGCAGCTGTGAATGGTGTGTGCTCTTGGTGGTGTTTCCTTATGACTGTACTCCTGGCACTTTTGTGGGCAAACCAGGTGCGAACGCCAAAGTACTTTGCACCTATAAGTGGACACTGCACTTCCAAAATGCCCAGAGTGAGACAAAGCAGGGCTGCATGAATAGCATTCGTCTCAGAATAGCAGTGCTGTGAATGTGCTAATGTTCCAACCATTAAGCAGCACCAGCAGCGACACACGTGTCTGATAGGTTGGCGATGTGCTGTGCTTACTGTCCACTGGTGCCGCAGGTACCTGGTCGAGTCGCCTCCCAATGTGTGCACCCCTGCACACATGGCCGACGCCGCAAAGCTCATCGCTGACAAATTCCCAGATGTCCTCAGCCTGAAGGTGCGATTTGAGCAATCCACAGATCACACTTGTTAAAGAGATGCGACAAACAGCGTCCTTGTGCCTGGTGGGTGATGATGCCCTATTGCGACTATTAGCCAAAATCATGTACATAGATAGTGGTATGATTGGTCAATGACCAACTGCCATTGACTGAAGATGCACACCAGCCGGTCATCAATCAATGTCTGAGCATCAACGACCAGCAGAGCTTTCATCAGTGAGGTGAATTGTACGATGAAAAGCATTGGCCAATCAATGTTTGGTTAGAGTTTCCCACGCCATCTCGCGACTGCTGCAGATGCGACTCAACCGTTTACTTGACAACATGGCACATCAGGCCTTGGACACATTGCCGAGTCATCTCCACATTTGTTTGTGCCAGCAATGGCTCAAACTTTCAGCCAGTTGGTGGGTTCCCTTGTTTCAGGCCCCTTTGGGGTGTGAAGGGCCATTGCTCACAGGGTTTCCTTCTACCAAAGAGTCTGTGGGCACTGGGTTGGTTCAGCTCTTGCCATGTATGAACAAGTCGTTGCACAGTATCCCCCCACCCTTCAACCAACCCACAGGAAATGTAGGGCAAAATTGAACCCAACTATGGAACCCAACTGTACAAGGCATCATATGTGCATTTGTGGTACATATAGATTACAGCTACAGCAGTCTTTCAGATTTGAGAATGTAAATGATAACTGGTGTTGATCTTTTTGAAGCAAAATGCCTGTTGCTGGCTATGACTCCTAAGGAGCGAATAGAAGTAAATCTGCATATGCTGTGCATTGGTAAATCAATGTTCAACACTTAGTATTGATAGTATACTTAGTACATGTGGCAACAATGTGCACGTATATTCATGGAAGTAAAATTGATGCATTGCAGGTGCTCGAGCGTGAGGACTGCGAGAAGTTGAAGATGGGCTGCTACCTGGCTGTGGCTCGTGGCTCAATCAAGCCTCCCAAGTTCATCCACATGACCTACAAACCCAAGGATGCTACTGGCAACGAAAAGAAGATTGCCATCGTGGGCAAGGGCATCACCTTCGACTCGGGTGGCTACAACCTTAAGGCTGGGGCTGGGTCGCTGATCGAATCGATGAAACTGGACATGGGCGGTGCAGGTGCTTGTATAACTATAGCATTAGATCGTAATTGCAACATCACTATGCATTAGACAGATTGGACAGATTGGATTAGACAGAAAGTGACAAAAGCAGACCCCTACAAGGCGATGTTGGGTCCTGGTGTTGTAATGATATGCTTTGCCAGTAGTGACAGTGACATTGTGTGTGTTCATGTGTGCCCATGTAAATGCAGTTTCCGCTGCGCTTTGATTTTCATGAGCTCAAAAGTGTCGCAGTCCCTCACACTTCCATTTGCCACTTGCCATCTGTTGCCACTTGTCAGGAATGTCAGGGTGAGCATTCGTCATGGATTGTACAGTTCAGGGTGCATTCAACATTTGACAGGCACCCTGGATGATGGAGACAGCGCTAGGAGCGCTTACTGTAGTTGTAAACTGAGCGATCATTCAGGCGATGAATTGGCCTATTGCTTTGTTGGCTGCTGCAGGTTGCCACGTAGTCAAGAGAGCCCTCATTCCGTGCATAAAAGGATGTTGAAGTTCGAAATTTCATTGAATCCGTTGGTCAACTGGCAGGTCGATAGACAGCAAGACTGCTGAGATCGACGTCTTCCTTTAATTCATTGAAAGATTGCCTGGCTGCATTGTTGGTAGACAGATCAATCCATGCATGGTCTCCGCAGGTGCGGTGCTGGGAGCTGCGATGATCGTGGGTGCCCTCGCCCCTGCCGGTGTTGAGGCCCATTTCATTGGCGCTTGCTGTGAGAACATGATATCACAAGATGCCTACCGCCCGGGCGATGTGATCACTGCTTCCAATGGCAAGACGGTCGAGATTCTGAACACCGATGCAGAGGGCCGCCTTGCGCTTTGCGATGGGTTGGTGTATGCACAGGTACTCCTGGTGAAGATTGACACCAAAATCACTGTCCATATTACAGCGCAATATTCCACCCTCCTGCATAGTAATGTAACACTTGGCTTTTTTGGTGTTGCAGAGCAACGCAAAAAAATGTAAATAACTTTCAGAAAAAAATCCGGAGCAAAAAGCATAATGGCAAACATTTTTGGATACAAAAGAGTTCATTTTTCTTTTCGATTGGAAAGTATTATATCACCTTTCAGCGTCCAGGTGCCTCCCCCGTCCTATCACAAGATATGTCGGGCTTGTGCTACCAAGCAACAGCATGCGAGGCGATGCAAACCCCCAAATAGTTTAAACCCAAAGAATGCTCAGTCTCAGGAAAGAAAAGAGAGAAGTTCGACACTGCGGGGAATCCTGGCAGACCAGCAACCAGAGAAATCGAGTTGTCTCTTTGGTTGTTCTAATGAACTGAGATGAGAAGATGCGGAAGGGTTGAATATACTACGTACATGGCTTGGTCCCCTGTGAACTTGCTTTGCACCATTAATGTGGAGTTTTAGTGCAGCTTAAACAAAGCTGGAAACTGCATGGAATGCGCAAGTGTCTTCCAGTGTACGGTGACCGCATGCTGGCAAAGCCACCATTTGTACGTGTGTGCCCAAACATTCTGTTTGTAACCACTGCTGTGCATTCAAGTTGATGATAATGTTTTTCCAAAACCAGAATACATATTTTGGCATTTGTGTGTTTGGCAAAACGGGTGGTATGGTGAAGGAATGACTGATTGAGGAACGAAAAATGTCTTGGGATTGGTACATTCCTGTTGTTGCATGCCAGGGTTCGCCTAATGGAGCCCAGTGTCTTGCAAACATGATATGCCAGCCAAGAATTGCGACTCCATTCCACCCAACACAGTTTACTGATAGATTGCTAGGTAATGCTCCCCTTGTCTTGCTTCCTTTGCAGACATACAACTGATACATTGCATATACTATCGACACTGGTACAATTAAAACTGTACATTTTTGTTGCACAATTTCAGCAGTTTAACTCATTTGGAAGATAAACTGAGACTTGGCAACAGCCCTAAATTGCCAATGCAATTGCCATGGAGGCAAAGGGGTGGTGCTTGTCAGGTTCCCCAGATGTGATAGAGTCGAATTCCTCTCCTTCTGTGCACTCAGGAACAATGTGGCGTAGAGGCAGTGGTTGACACCGCTACACTTACTGGGGCATGCATCATTGCCTTGGGTGGTAATGTTGGTGGTCTTTTCACACCCAGTGACAGCATGGCCGCGCAGATCAAGGCTGCCTCCCAGACAGGGGGAGAGAAGGTAGGAAGGGACGTACGGTAAAGAATTGTATGTTCTGACCGCTCTCAGTGGTTGTGTGGGAACCGCCACAGCGATTACTTCCAAGGTAGCTCATGGCTATTCAAAGGACACAAACCCAGATGTTTCTCATGCCATCAACAGGTGCCAGAACGCCTGCCTTGCAGCACTCAAAGATTTTATGAAACGCAAAATCAAACGTCCGATCGCTGGTGTCAGTACTGACCTTGACACATGGCGTTATGTGTTGCTGAGCATGGCTTTCAATCGAGGTCAATGACCAGCAGATTTCATTGGCACGCTGAATTTTGCCACGATTTGTCTAAGGCAGCCATGTAGCCCATTCAAAGATAAGTGCTTTTCCCAAGCATGTCAGGGCTGTAGAAAACTGCGCAAAATAGCCAGACAATGGCTGGCCCGCCAGCCAGCACAGTGGTTGTGAAGGGTTGTACCAAGACAGTGCCCAGCGCCATTGCCAGCACTCTTAAGCAGACCATTTGGGGTGCGTTCTCCCCTTTTCTGGGAATGCTGGCTTCCATTGAACACATACACATGGTTGTATTGCCTTCCTTGGCAAGTGCGAATCTTTTGGGGGCAGAAAATTTACAACTCATACCTTGAGTTTGTCATTTTCCACATTGTCTGTTTCTTGTAATGCCTGTTTACATGTCTCACGCTCTTTAGATATGGAGGATGCCTTTGGAGGAAGAGTACTTCGAGAGCCTGAAGTCGCCCATCGCCGACGTCAAGAACGTGGGCAGCCGCTGGGGCGGCGCCATCATCGCCGCCCTTTTCCTCAAGGAGTTCATCAAGACGGACACCGTGAAGTGGGCGCACCTGGACATCGCTGGGCCGGCCTTCCAGCTGGACAAGGGGCAGGCCACGGGCTTTTGCGCAAGGACGCTTGCGCACTGGGTGGCACAGTATGGGAGCGGGTAGGCGGCTCCAAGGCAGCACTAGCATCCCATGGTGTCAGTCACTGGGGGTGAGTGGTGACATGGGTGGGGTACATCTTGTATATGTGTGTAAGAAGAGTGTTTTTTTCCCTTTCTGATCCTTTTGTTCGCTTTCATCGACGTTGACATATTGTGTCCCAGCATGGTGAGGCAGTGGAGGAGGGAATCGGGCAGCTTGCGGGGCGCGGATTGGCGGTGAGTGGACAGGGTGGACGACTGCGGCGGGTGGGGTGGCAGGTGATGGTGCAAGCATTTGTCTTGGTGCGTGTTTTCTTAGATTGCAGTCAGGTGTGCGTCGCTGAATCGATTCCAAGCGCTGTCAGGGGCGCGGAGCAGCTGCTGTTGCTGTCGGTGGCGTTGAGGGGATGTATGTCGAGACGTGTGAGGGGCTGACGTCGGGGAGGTCGATGATGTGGCGGTCGGGCAGTGGTGGATTGCTTCATGTAAGTTTTTCTTGGTCATGGATTGGAGGGCAGTTGGCAGATGTTTTGGGACGGGTACCAATTTGCCTACTCCAGCCTTTTGTGCGTTGAGCGATCGGAGCGGTGGAAGGAGCCAATGAGGAGTTTATGAATGTGGGATGCCGATGTTGGCAATCACAAGACAGTGGCCTTGTATGGTCATGGTCCAAGTCACTGATAGCGCAGTGCTTAACAATTGTGCTGCTGCACCTGTTGCTTAGGATGAGTTGTTGCGCTGGACCAAGTGGCCCACATGCCTGCAGGTGTGTCGGATGCAGCGACTGGAAGTGGGGCACGATGTACTAACGGGGACAACAGCGTGTGGTACATGGTGCTAGCCACACATACGGCTGGAGTTGGCTATTCCGTTTTTTGCTTACCTTACAATTTTGCTTACCTTACGATTAGCTCCATCTTGCAAGTTGTGATGATTGTACTCGCTTGCCCACCTGCGACCATTGTATATTAATGTACTCTAGCCATCACTAAATCGCGATTTTGTGTTTTGGAGAATTCTGTCTCCACCCGAGCGATTCAATTGGCAGTCCGGCAGCCACTCGGAGGCGACTCGAAGGGCTGGGCGATGCCAGTGTACTTGCATTTGCACGTACGAATGATTTATTCAACGAGGCCTGTATGCAGACATCACTAGCAACACTGTGCACAGTGCACGCTTTCGACCTATTGGCCGGAACCCACAGCGGTTCCTGCCACAACCACACAAACCCCAAACCGCAGTTTCGTAGTACATATTGGTGATGATTGACAACTGTCGACCACGCTTCAGGAATTGGTGTGAACTCTGTCCCTGGGCATGGTACAGTACATACGATGTCGTGCTACATCGGCAAGTTACTGAGCCACGACGCCGGTGACACGCCCCCATTCAATCCTTGACAGGACAGCAGACTACCCCTGCCACCAACGAGTCGTCGATGCTCTTCTGTGCAAGGCCGGGCTCACGCTCTCCCAATAGAATGCCGCACAACAGTGACACCGCCTGGGGTGATGCAATCGCACCAGAAATGCAACTGCCTGTTAGGGCAGTTCTCCCCTGCCTGCCCACAGTCAGACTGCAATCTGTGCAGTAGCCCACTGCCCCAGCACTCCCCAGGGGAACAACCAAGCATTTGCCAACATTTCCGTGGGACATTTCTGCACTAGCGCCACATGGCCTTGGAATCTTGGTGCGCTTTCTAACATATGTACGATGTGCTTGGGCTCACGTGGGACATGGGGCATGAGGGTTGGGATTGATTTTTGTTTGCTACATACACTGAACATAATCCACGGGGATTTCATTACTTGTGCCAGCTCATTGCATTCATGGGGCAATAAGGAGTGGCGATATGGAACCATGAGTCATCGATTCCAAACACTTTATCTACTTGGTTTTCACGCCCATCATCGCCTACCGGGTGCACGGGTTGTGTTTTGTCATTTTGTGACAAATGTAGTCCATGGATTTGGATGATGATGACCAAGCATTTCATGCAGGGTCAATCGGTGATGTGCGCAAATGCGGTGGTCAATAGGCAGACTGGAGGATCGCCAATCTCTCACAGAGACCCTTCAAAACAGTTCCCAATTCCTACACGAGAAACCCGCCAAGAACCCATCTTCATAAGGCATCACTGCAAGCCACCTAGGCCAAGCCTCAAGCGCAGATGTAATGGCGCAGCACCACTTTTGTCAGCCCTGTGGAGGCCATGTGCAATTCCGATCCGACGATTAGCAAACGATGAACGATTTAAGTCAACGGACCCACGCTGTGCCCATGCATCAACACTGGTTTGTCATCGCATGTGAAGAGACTTTGTCGAATTTGGTGCGCTTAGGAAAGCCGGTGTGTCCAATTCTGCAAGCGCCAAGCTCATTAACAATCAGTGGTGACTTGTTGGGACCTCCCATAGTCCTAGTCGCTAAGGCACCCTGCGTTGACCGCTGCACAGCCCTGCCATCCGAAGACAGGTGTGTGCTAATATCCAGGTCGCGCCTAAAGTTAGCGTCAGAGAGACATATGCCCTGGGCGCTGTCTGAGAATCTTGGCATCACGCAGCTCTTCCTGCATGCAGGGTTGAACGGTAGCAATTGCGCACAAACACTGAAAAAATGGTGCTTGTGATCAGTTGCGGGTATCTCCTGTTTTCTTGAAGGGGTAAGCCTTTCCAGCTCAGCTGGGACAACAATGAAGGAAAACTCCAGATCTTTGTCGATGTCTCTGAGCTTCTTTGGATCAAAGAAGATTTTCTTCAGCTTTGGTTTCTTTGCCCATTTCTCCACTGCCTCCCGGGCCTCAGGTAACTTCCCCTCGACTGCCACCACCCTGTCCACATCTCGCTTGACTTTTTTCTCTGGCTTCGCCTGCTTGGTTGACGTGATTCAGATGCTGAAACTCCCTCAGAATTTTGGCAATGCGGTCTACTCGGTCATGGATGCCTTCCGTCCTCTCATGACCGAACCTCGCGGCGCCATCTTTAATGATTGGCAGTGTCCGCGCTATCGCGTTCTCGCACAGGTTGGCAAACACACCGACGGCGACAACGACGTCAGCAGCTTCCATGTGCCTCAACCGCAGAGAGTATCCTCAACTTCCGTAGAAAATCTGATGTTCTGCAGAAAAGATGGACACAAAATCGCCTACCAGTGACCTCACTATTCATTGCTCGACGTGTCCTCAACACTCTAGGGACGTGCGCGGGGTGCCTGATAAGCATGACCGTGTCTCGAGTCCGAGGAGTGGAGCCCAATGTAATTCACAGGAGAGGAGGAGGAGAAGGGCGTGCAAAGCTGGCGCGTTGAGCAGTGGCGGCGAGCTCTGGGAGGTGCATCGCAAGAACGAGTGAGAATTCCAGAAACAGAAGGGCGGCCGGCCGGCGGAGTATTTCCAAACCCCGCAGATGTCCAGCGGTGACTTTTCTCAATGCAATTTTAGGTACTCCATCAGGTGCTTCATCCGGCAGTTTATCCGTTACTCCATCAGAAGCTCCATTTTGATAGATTGAACGTATCTTGGGCTGCTTGTTGCAACTCTGATGTAAGACAGGGTCCACAGAGCTTATGAACTGATCACACTAGTAAAATATTCCCTATTTTGCATAGTTTCTAACCCCGCCCAAACTGTGGCAAAGCGAGACCACATTGTGTAATGCCATCCGACGGTTAGCACCAAAAACCGGTGCGTTCTTGTTTTCATCTATTACCAGTGTCAGGCGACCATCATCACATCACTTGAACAATCTGTAGTCAACCCAGAGAATGTGTCCACACATCTCACCCGATGTCATTGGCAACCAGGGCTCACCCTTGCTGCAGCTTGCGGGCTGCAAAATATCCGCCCCCGTCTTTTCACCACCATCACACCACCACCGTCAAACCGACGCCAAGTGCATTGAGGTGACGCTTCACCTCTGTTTAGAAATTTCGCTTGTTGCTTACTTTGCACAGAAGGAGGTCATAACCAATGCAAGTCATAAAATTTGACCCCAAAAAATTATGAAGCGCCGGATCGAGAGCTACTTGTAGAGAACCCAAAAGTGGCAATGGTGCCACCATTCTCTGCCGATGTCAAGAGGAGCTGAAACGAGGTGCTGCCCTTCCCGTGCCCTGTCAGGGGCGGATGACCAGCTCCTTTTCACTTTTGAGAGGTGTATTAACGGTTTCTGCACATCTGTGAAGGGCTAGACGTGGACGCAATACTGTGCCCGCATTGCCATTGACACAGTGCCAAACAGCGCCCCACCAAATGTCCATAACTCGATGTTGACGAGCTTTGATGCTTGTGCCGGCTTTGCGTCAACGCCGATGCACTGGCCTTGCTACTGTACTGTGCGGCGTTGCATCGATGACATTGTACACACCAGCACGATATTAGCTGGCACGAATTCTGACAGCGGACGGTGCAAGTTGAAGAGTGGCCAGTTCTGTACCACTGGAAACGCGTGCTGACTGCATCGAACGCATGGAAGCTAGGGTAGTACTTTATTAAGTCAATGCGCTGTTACGTACCATTCGCGAGCAGCCAGTGGTTGAGAAGACCACCCACAACAAAACTGCTTGATGTGATAAACTAATGAAGGCATCTCGGTGCAATCTTAAGTAACTCACCAAGTACGCATAAAAACTGTGGCTAGTGCATTACGCATTACAAAAGCGTCTTTTCGACGATCAGGCGACATGCGCATGTAAATGCACATGTGCGATGAAATTCAGTCACAGAGACAGCTAGCAACGACATTTGAATGAAGAATGTATTAAATGTACATCATATCCAATAAATACAGTGACACCGGCGCGGCCGATGTGGTCTACCCTCGACCGCTATCCCTGCATACCAACAGCGCCTCTTCCGAAGAAACGAATGTACATCCTGGAAACTCCAACACAATATGCCATCGAGGCCAAACGTAAGTCCTTGCAAGACACCCTCAGGCAAATGTGCCCCAGCACGGTACTTCGGCAGAGCACTCTGTCAACGCAACCAGCCACAAAGCTGTCTGATGTTTTATTCTATATGGTACAGCTAGCCTGGTGCATGTTAATGCGCGTTCAAAATTGCCAACATCAGCTGCACAGCTGTTGCAAACTCATTGTGAGGTGCTGTCCACGTGACCACGGCCGTGTTTTGTCACGAACAGGGTAACGGAGCCCCCAGATATTCATCTCCGAGATTTGTACGTGTATTGTGTAAGTTTCCATTTCTTTCCCCAAGTTTTGATCACCCTAGCAATCTCAGGGCGCCCTTCCTTCCTCGCGACGTCTGCCGCCGTGTCTCCCCAGAAAATCCCGTTCTGCGTGGCAAACAGGGAACTTATGGCCCAATGCAAATGTCCCAATTCTCTGGAAAGCGCCCGAAACAGGCGATTTGCAATCTGCGAGTTTTCCTCCCGTTCTGGCACGTGCTTCTCAAGGGTTGCATCGATGATCTCAAGTCATTCCTGATAGCCAACAGGTTGGCATGAAGATCGAGCTTTGAGCACAGACATTGTTGACAATTATGTGGAATGGCCCAATTTTCGAATGATGCTTGGCATGTGATTCCTGATGAGCAGGGTACGTCCATACCAAATGCAGCAACAACCAAACAGCAACAAATCCATGAAACGCTGCCCGATTGCGCGTTGAGTCCAGGTGCTGGAGAGAACCGATCATCAATATAGGTGTCCGTCAGACGACACAGTCAGTGCACTAAGCTGCAGGTACTGAAGTCATCAATTTCGGCATATAGCTCATCAACAGTTGCATCTGCATTTTCGCCATGCATTGCTGCAGTGAGGGCTTAGCCACCATGGCCACCTTGTGTGGATCTACTTCTTTCAAGTGTGTTGTCGATTCCTTGCTATTCAAGGACAACTTGCGCCCCTGTTTGATCAAACTGCTCCGATTGAAAACGTCAGCAGGGCCCTGGACCAGGCGTTTCTCTTTGCAGCCGCCACCAAATGGCAGCAACGGTCAGTGCGACAGCACATTCTCCACACCTCATTTCTGATGTTCTTGTTGGCTCGATGGCTTAGTAGGAATTTCACCATGGCCATTCTGCCTTCCCGTGCCGCCAGATGCAGAGCTGTGTTGCCGTCCTGGAATGGACAACAGTGCAAGGAGTCTCTGCACACAAACCTCTGCGGATATTTCTCACAGGCCCGTGGATATTGGCAGCGTTCCAGAGTCAAACAACGACTATCGCTCCGACACCGCCCGCCAAGATTCCCGAGCGCACAAGCTCCCACCTCTCATCGAGAGGTGCACCGTAAGCGTTGACAAACTCTACGACGACAGCTGTGTTGCTTCTAGTTTGCAATACGTTGCATCACAATTGGACTCTGAAATCCGGCATTTGGAACCAAACACAGAAAAGGAAATGCCCAGACTGAAGACCATGACTGTGACGAGAAGGCAAAGTTCGCTACCTTTTCAAACCCACTTGAAATTAGGTTTGTATAAGATTCTCTCAGGCGCTCTGACTGCGAGGGCTTAACTGACAGGTCTGCTCAACCGTTTGGAAAACCTGATGCCTGCCGTCCGCTGAAGTCGGCGTCTTCAAAATACCCCAAAATGCGCGTACAAAATGCCCACAATGGCAATAAAGTACAAACATATTGAATTTGTACTAATCATGCAGTTGAAATTGTTCTGCACCTAGATTATTACACGTCAGTTTGCTTCAAAATACATTTGCTAAATATAAACAGGCAATCCACAGGCAATCAAATGGCAACTGCGATTCCACACATGAAATAGCTTGCTGTCGACAATCAGAATAAGATCAAGGATGCTCGCTGCTATCCAGAAACGTTTCTTCCAAGCTCTGGATAACATGAAGAACTGAGGGGACATATCTACTTGAGCTTGGAAATATCATGCCCAGGTCCCACGCACTGCAGCCAGCTCGGATCCCAAACGGGCCCACACCGTGTCTTTCTCATTGATGTTGGCTCCCCTTCGCAGCAAAACTGCGGCCACCGCTTCGTGGCCGTTACTTGCAGCCAGCATCCACGCCGTGCGGCAAAACTGTCCCACAGCAGACAGAAAGGATACATGAGTACAGTGAAGTGGACGAGAAACAACACTATGCATGCATGGCACACGTCGAGCTGCGCCACATCATGCCACGCTTTTTCATGGGGGTAAGAATTGCACCTCTGGAAAGCCTGTTGGAGGACTCCGCATGGGCAATGTAGACACCGACGGCAACGCTACCCCCCTCCAAAGATGTGTATGCATTCTGCCAGCTTTCCAGTCGAATGCATATTCGGTTCCAAAGCAATGCTTCCAAACCACAGGCAGTAATCATTTTCCCCAGCAGTCATCACTACACCAGCCAAAAAATTCGGGTTCCTGAAACGCTGCTATGACAATGTGATTCACTGCCGTTGTGGAGCACAGCCCCGCACTGACGCACGACTCTCAGCAACTACACAGTGCTGGAACAAGGGCAGATGTGCAGCCATGAATATACAGATAAATGGTGCCCTCATTCTGTTGGAGAATGTAGTGGACTGTGCACATGATGTGAGCCAGAAACAGCAAGGCGATCTGGCAGGGTGTTGCTCGCACTGTGCTGTATGTGTGTTTTGGATTCACCTTGTAACGTCAGCCTTGGCTGGCTGTCCCCTGACCCTGGGGTTTTCTGGACAGAGGATCGCACTGATGGCACAGACACACAGGTGCACTGCCACATTGCACAACAAGCATACTTTCTTCCGTTGCTATTTCAGCAGTTTGCCATTGCGCTGAACAGTGTTACGTTAGCGCACTGTGCTGGTAGCACTTTAACTAAGAAGTGATGTACATCCTCTGTCGATGGAAGGCGCCATGACGTCACTATAGATGCAAGTACGGTTGGGGCTTTTGTTGCTGAGGTCGTAAGGATTATAGCCATTTTGCTTGTCAGATTGTGAGGCAAAAAATCAAGTCGCGGTGATTTAGCACATGCATTAAGTAGGTGTTGATGCAGTCAATGTGTATTAACAAAGCTCATGCATTAACCAGTCTTCAGCATCACATTAGTGGTGAGCAGCACGCAGCGTAGCTGGCTCTGTACCCAGGAGTTCTTGGAATCTTCTGCACATCCAAGCAGAGTGTCAACTTTTTCGGCGAGGCCTTCTGCAGCCGCCCGTTCCAGAACCCTCCTGAACTCATCCTCCAAGTCCTGAAAACCACAGCGCAGCTAACGTGGGCTCGAAGATCCTGGTTTCTTTAATGTTTCTTCCAAACGCAGTTTGACACATTCAAAACTGGAGGCAAGATGGCGTGCACTGGTCATCCAGCATCGCCAAATACGCTAAGGCCAGTCATTTTCAGTTTTGAGGCGTGTGCATGCATCGCATGTGCGTAATCAACGGGTACATATTCCCATGATCAGCCAGAATAAATGTATGCCTTTGTGTAATACAGCTGCAGTGCAAGAAGCTACAAAGTCCCACAGAGAGGCATAATGTAAAAGGGCGATCGTCAGTTCAATCACTTCAACTCACATAATCAGGTCAGTGAAGGATGGGTGAGCGCCAAAACAAAAGTCGTGCCCCTTCGGTGTGGCGATCCCCGTTGCTCTCAATACAAACGTTCGCCACAGTTAACAGCACATTACACAATAGAATGTTCAACAATCAAATGGGAAACAAGACAAGGCCCACCTGGACAATTTGGTCTTTCTCCTCCGGTTTTGCTGGCCAGAGCTGCGCAAAAAGTGAAAAGGAATACAGGAAAGTGTCAGCATATTTGTTGCTAGGAAACCACCCAGTACCAAAGAAATATGCTGCTTCGACCACCACCAAGATATGGGACAATGCAACTTGGGCAAGCACATGTGGCGCAACGTTTGCAGCATCCGTCGCGATGTCTGCCGACCAGACAGTGAACGGCCAAGGCTCTGTTGCTGATCCCCACTGTCTCAGCACAAACGTCAACTGCTGACTAATCAATATACACTTTGCCAAACACCACCCAGAGATGCACCAATTGCAACACATGGCATCCGCCCGCAACTGCACTATGCCACGTCAACTACACAGTACTGGCCAAAACGGAGACACTGAGAACACTGGGAGGGCAAAAAGGTTCAAATTGTTTAAGTGCGGAATGCGACTCTTTTTGACGCATGTTGAGACAGGGCGGGACGCCCGGGTTGGGTTATGCATTGGGACAACGCATCTGAGGGCTCGGATGTCCACAGGTCCAGTTCTTTCGGTTTCTATTTGCAGGGACACTGGGTCCTGGCGCCACGTCTGGGCAATTTTGCAACCTTGTTTGCGTGCTTTTGCACCCCTTTTCTGCTGTACTGTTTTCTATTCTCTTCTTTGCCTGCCAGCAGCTGGTTTTCCTTTTGTCTGTTTGGCATTCTTTTCACCTTGTACAAATGGGCAGCAAATGTAACGCTGATCTGGTGACTTGAAACAACTGTCGCTTGGCTGGTTCAGCGCCTGCCAACGCCTTCAAAGCGCAGGGCTATTGCCATCATCTGTTTCTCGACAGCTGCATTCCGTGCAACTATGGCTTGGGGTGTGTGCTGTGTACAGCCATGGTCGATTGCTTCTGCAACAGTCACGGCAGCAAGGGATTTGTTTATCATGTATTATTGACCAAAGCAACCCATGCCAGTGCACCTTGGAACATCATTGACAGCATGTTAACAACTTGTCGGTAATGGGACGCTTCCCCACACACCACATGCGCACACCACTGCTGCACTTTAGGATGGATTAGAAGTCTGCGAGCCAGGATGTACTGAACATGCGAGCAGATAGGAAGGTTCCAAAAGATCTGGGCTGTGGCTGTAAAGCTGAGGGCTGGACTCGCGTGACTGGTTGGCAAACAGCAGCAGTTAAACATGACCATTACTTGCACAGACCTGTGGCAGCCATGCAGTTTGGGAGGACTGGCGCCTGTGTACAGCTCTTATTTTTCCAGGAGGCGATTTGGGAAGTGAGCCGGGCGACAACTGCGCAGCACTCCATACAGTCACCACGGTGCACCAAGGCGGTCAGAACAACGGGCAGCACACACATTGTTGAGCCACGTGTTGGCTTACTGCCCATGCTGTATCAGTACCAAGAGAACGTGCTGTCTGAGACTGGCTGGAGCACTCAAGCAGAGTGCAGGCTTGCGAGGAAAGGCACATGCGATTGGTCCCCGGGTCCAATGGCAAAGGTGCTACCGTGGACTGTCATCATAGTGATCATTATCATGACCACTCAGCAAATACTTCTGGGAAGCTTGTTCATTGCTTCGATGCACAAAGTGTTGCACTGAGTGCTCAGCATCACGATATGCATAATGCCAATTGTTGTGTGGGCAACATTCGCATACGCGTCATCTGTTCATTGCGTGTGGGTGGAAGACCATCTCCTGTTCGTCAGCACAGTGGAGTTCTCGCCAAAACACATACAAGCTGGTCGTGGGCCTGCTAACGTGGTGTCACCAATGTGAACAATCTACTGAATGTGTTGGCGATCTTCCAAGTGCCCACATGAAAAATTGAGGGATTGGTGTACTTTAGGATATTGTGATGCTGGATTCTAGGTTCCTAAGCCTTGAATTCGGGCTTCAGACTGGGAGTGATACGTGGAGATTCAAATTCAGGTGCCCTCACAGCGGAACACATCAACCTTGGCAAGCACAGGTGTCACAAATATTTCTGCGCAGGAGGAGGGATCGCATTGTATATGCCATGAAAGCATGCCCGGCAGAAACCTAATTTTGGCAAATGACAATCTTAACAGATCTCACCAGTGTTTCAAATAAAGCACACTAGCTACAGTTGCCATACCTGGCACAACTGTTGTTGAAGATAGAACAAAAGATGGTTGCAAAGAGGCATTGTCGTTATGAGCAATATTCTCGAGACCCTTTTTTGTAACCTAAATGTGATGCACAAATGTTCACGTCCAGAAAGCTTAGAACAAGGACAAAACTGGCGCTTACAGCATGATAACACCCAATGTCAAGCATTCACTGTGGCAGTCGTGAAGGCACACAGCAACGCTTTCGAAGTGGAACTGAATCCCCATGGGCAGCTAGCAGGGCCTCCAGGCATGTGGCGCACTCCAGATGCATCAGCTGCCGACCAGGTGTGCCCACTCACCTCTCTTTCGTTGTCTCCCACGTGTGTGTGCCCACCAGAATCCAAGATTGCTTGCTTGCTTGCCTTTGTCTTGAGCTCTTGGCTGGGCCCAGGTGTCCCTAAACTGTGAGCCACACCATTCACGGGAGTGAAGATCAGAATGCGCTGATGCAAGTTCTGGCACCATAAGAAATCAGTTCTGAGACAAGGCAAGGAACATCTGACAGGTTGAGGGCCAGACTTCTCAGGTACTTATGTGCTGTGGGCAACAAGCCATCAGCTGCACACACTACACACGTTGGACCATCAGTAGTCCTGGCCCAACTGCATGGAATGTCATGAGCTGCCAATTCACATTCCAATGTCATCCAGCTGGTCATTGGGCAGAACTTCATCAAGATTCCAACTTTGAACCAACAGAAGTGAAATTAAAGCCAATATCCAAAAGAATTGCTTACAATGGGGAGCATTCCCAGCGAGGTTCTACAGTGTGCCATGAACATCAATACTTCAAGAACTCGCCTGCCATTGAAGATGTCCTGCGGGCGTGCTGGTGGGTCAGGAGATGAGGGGCCAACCTGCACAACAATAGAGCCATCAAGGCCAACTTGTATAGCAACACCAGCACTATTACATTGTAACTGAAAATACTCAAATGTGAGTCCAAAATTCGTTGTTGGGCAACAGTACACACAGATCATTCCAATAGAAAATGCTCATGTGGGGCATGGACTGGCCTTGCATTGCCTTTTCTTTTCCTTCGTGTCCTATTGGGGCCCTGATGTGTTGTGCTAAAGACTCCTATGCCCTCTCAAAGATCAACTGAGACTGTTGCATGTGGTTAAACGAACCACAGACAGCGACATGTGCTGTTGGACCCTGGCTGCAAGCTCCAACAGCACTGTTGATGCCGCTTCTGGTCAACGCTATAATCGTCTCCTGTGGTACAGCCAGCCACACATCCAGGATAATGCTTCATCTGTATCACAAGGGGGGCATCATGTCCTACCGCATCGTCAACTGTGTCCACATCTGATGTACCAGCACCAGCCGCACAATCGAGCTCTCTCATGCTAAAACCAACACAGCAAGCCAATGAAGGTCAGTTATCAGGAGAGATGGTCAGGGGGAAAAGGTTGGCAAAGTAGAAAAGGGGGAATGGTCTCTCCTTCAGCCCTTCCAGTACCTAGCAAGCATATGGCTCAACCTGCTTGTTGCTAGCTGCCTCACTAATGATAATTCGATGTGAACTGTTTGCACTCAGCTTGTTCCACATCTGTGCCTGCCCAGCCATAGTTCAATGCAGTTGTGTGGATGGCATTAAGGAGACATCGCCTGATAGGTGAAAGGGCAATGGTTGTCTTGCTTTTGTAAAATGTGGGATTGCAGAGGCCAGAGAATCGCAAATGACTCAACCTGCTCAAGATGCGCCGCACGGCATTGATGACCATCGGCAGGAGGTCTGGTTTGTCGCTTCTGCAGGCGCAATCCACATGCTCGATGCCCCTTCTGAAATACAGCTGCAGCAAGACTTGGGCAGGCAAGCTGTCCAGCACACACCGCAAGTACATTGCTTCCCAGTCTGAGCCAGGCATCTGCAGTAGCACTCAAGCATGTCAAACCATGCACAATATGAGCATTTCAGAATCAATACACCCAGCATGTTCCCATCACCACAACAAGCCAGCTCGTGTGGTCTTAGATCTGCGCACAAGTCAAATACAACTGTGGCCTACTTCTTTGCAAAAGGAGACGTTGAACAATCGTTCGGTGTGCATAGACCTGAGCTCATTACCCTAGAGCTGGGAGGCCTGCTTTGTCATTCTTCTACCAAAGCCACAAGAGACTGTGCTCTCCAATTACCTATCGGGTCGAAATAGCTCATCGTTCACTGAGCAACATCGGACAGGCCTGGAAACATTGCAGTCTGGATGTGCACTGCTCCTTGACAATAGTATCGACAACAACTTGTGCACACCCACTCACCCGCCCATACACCACAACGCCAATATTCGCCGCTTCGAAAGTCCCAAGCACCGATTTCCCAATCGGTACCATCACTGGGATGACCTCCGCCTTTTCCCTCTCTTTGCCAAGCTCTTGCCATTGGCTGCGAAACTCCTCTTCCTCGATTTTGTCAGCCTCACAGAATAGAAGCTCAATGTGGATGGTCTCCGTGAAACAAACCAACCATGACTTGGGGGTCTCCACCACAACTTGCAGCTCGTCACTTGCTGGCCCACTCGAAAGCATCTTCCGATCATGCACAAGAAGGTTCGTTGTTGTCTGTACAGAAGAAGGAGGGATGACCGGAAGGCTGATCTCCTACAATTCAACAGGCATTGTTCTCAAGCACATACAGGCAGGTTGCCTGTGGAACAGCACACTTGAAGTCACAGCTGAGGTAAAGTGCAATATTGCATTGCCCAACAAGAGCCCAACAGAATATCTCTGATCAGCATGCATCCTCCCTACGACCCGTTCCTGTCCAATAGCAGCGAGCACATGCCCTGCGGGAATTCGCTGGGCCTTTAAACTCCCAAAAGAGCGATATACTCGTGTCCGGAACCTGACAATTAAACGCGCAGGACACTTGTTACCTTGTTTGCTGGTTGCAATCCGAACGAGTTAGCAGACATCACAACCTTCACGCCTTCCACTGTTCTTTTTGTCTCGTTAGCCAGCTGGAGCTTGAACACCACTTGGCTGCCTTCCCTCGCAAGTTGACAATCAATGACCAGTCCCAGCTCACCATCCAATGCCAGCACTTTTGTACCAAGTCGATCTGCCACATCTGACCCTGAAAGTGTTCTTTCAACGCCAAAGGAGCCTGATCCTGTGTCTGCTGAGTGAGGTGAACTTGGCAAAGACCGAACCGAAATGGTATGTGATAGATGTGTGGTGGTCTGGGAAGGATTTGAGCTGGTGCTTAGGCTTGTCAGGACGTTTGCGGCACTCTCCACCCACGAATCAGCAGCAGATGACCCTGTGCTGACCTCTGGGGGTACCTGTCACAGTACAAAGGCCGTTCTCACTCAATACAATCTTCCCAGGGTGAGATTGATTGCTCATGAGTGCAATCTCTTCCATGTGGGCACTTCTGGGTCTTTCGTTGTCCCCTAAAAGTTGCAGTCCACTAAGAGCTTGTGCCAGGGACCTGCTCATGAGCAATTGCCTGTGCAAGCGCAGCATGTTTAGTGCTGCTTGTTAAAGCAACAGAATTGCAGAAGAGACAGGAACTAAGACCATCTGCTGGATTCTGCCCTCGTAACGCTCTTGTCCCTCCTACATTGCCACCTTAGACAAGAAGTTGTGGCACATATGTTTGGAGTTCTGGCTTGAAATAGCTCTGTTCAATTTACTATTTCTGCTGTTACGAACCACAAGTGTTTTATAGGGATACAGTGTAAGAATTTGACACATGAACAATCAATTCTCGTGAACCGCTGGTCATCTCACCTTTAGTGCACAGCTTTCATTCCAGTCCACTGGCATCCGCTGGAGGCTCTCAACAACCTCCTCCATTTTTGGCCTATGGGCAGGATCGACTGCACAGCATCGACGCATTAGGTCCAACATTTCTTTGGGGCAATCTTGAGGGCGCACTGCACAGGGACCCTTCCCAGAGAGCTTTTGGCCCATAATGGCAAACTCAGTCTGCTTTCCCGCATCGTAGGGCTCCTTGCCAGTGACAACCTCAAACATGACCACCCCCAGGCTGTACACATCCGACGCCTTGTCAATGGGCTTGCTGTGGTAAACCTCAGGGGCGATCCATGCAGCAGTTCCACCGCCCTTCCTGATCGTCTTGCTCCTGGACTCGCCCACTCTGAACGTCATGCCCAAGTCAGCAAGCTTCAAGTGGGGATTGCCCTGCTCATCTGTGAAAATGAGGCAGTTCCTGCTCTTTACGTCCCCATGGACAAGGTTTCGGAGGTGCATGCAGTTCAAGCCTGCAGCAGCTTGTTGCAGGAGTCTGAGGTTCACACTGAACTCCAGCTTGACATGCCCGTGGCAGAGTGAGTACAGATCTGAGTCTGCAAGTTCCATCACCAGGTAACCACCAGTGGTAGTGGCAAGCAGCTGGACAATGTTGGGATGGCTGTGCAATAAGGCATGCCAGGACACCTCCCTCACAAACTCTGCAAGTTCCTCAAGGGGCATGTCGTCCTCCCACAGTGGCCGCTTCACAGCCACCAATCTTCCCCTCCAGGTTGCTTCAAACACAGCACCTTTGGCGCCTTGAGCTCGCCTTACCCCCAACTCGAGGTCATTGGGGTCCACCACCTCCACACAATTCAGCTTGTCAATGTGATTAGCTTTGGCGTCGATCCACAATTGCCGCACCTTGTCATCCACATCACAGTCCACACCGTTCAGGACAAATTCAAGCAGCTTCCGCAGCAGCTGCATGTCCTCCTCGACCCAATCCTTAGGCACTGCATCGTCAATCGTCACTGCATCCGGCATGTGCCAGCCCTCAACGATCTCCTTCAGCTCATCACATATCTGACACACACCCTCCTCAGCATCGTGTGTAGTGTAGAAGTCCCTGATGTCAAATTGCTGTGCATGCTTCTCCAAAAGCCTCCCTCCCATCTCCAGTAGCCTATTGATGCGCTCCAAGTCCTTGCTTGGAGTACCCTCAGGGGGTTCAAGACTTCTCACTTTGTGCAGCTGGACATAGAGAAAGTATGAAATTCCTTGGTTGTATTGCCACCGTACAACAGAACTGCCAGATGGCATGTGGGGCTCTGGTTGCTCCTGCTCGAAGCACAACCCACCCTCAGGATCACACAATTGTGAAGTGCTCCTAACTGTGGCAGCAAACTACTTGCTTGCAACATATTGGCTGCAACTGACTGACATTTTGAAATGAATATATGGCTTTCCAGATTCCAGCTGTTCCCAAAATGGCGCCAAATCCGGCTGGAGCAAAGTCCAAGGTGGCAATGTCCACACAATTCAACAGCCATGGACAGACTATCAGACTGAACACTCCAATTTGAACCTTTTTCTGATTCTGCACCAGGTTTTAAACTGTTCGTTGCCTTTGAGGCTGTTTGTGCTGAGCAGACACAACTGTTGAGCCACAGCAGTAATAAAGAAGTTTTGTCCTGGCCATGCAGCATCTTCACTTGCACCACAGCCTGGATGACCTGGCTGCAGCGCCTGTGGTGAAACAAATGTGACCTGTTGCGGCAGCATCAACAACATTCTTCACTCAGCAGTGATGGCTACAGCACAAATGCACTCCATTCCTGGTCCTACCCTCATGGGATATTTAGCGTTTTGCTGTTGTTGAATTCTCCAGATAGATGGTTCAGGGTGGAAAAACTTCTCACCATGACGTGGTCCTTGTGTTCACCCCTTGGTGTTACAGCTTCGGTCATCCGGCTCTGGCTGGACTGCATTCATGAACACAAATATTGATCAGAGTGCCCTGGCATGGCCCCATGCAACCATCTGCGAGACAATGACAGTGCTCCAGCACAACTTTATGTGTGCACAACATGGCAATGCTGTGCTGCATTGCATCTGTAGGGGGTGCAGATTTGTACATGAAAGTGGCAAAGGCAGGCAACTATCGCTTTCAGATTGTTCAGATTCTGACTCAGGCATTGGTTGTACCTGGTCAGAAAATGTGCTCCGTGCATCAACAAACTCATCATCTGTGTGCCCAGATGTCATGCTTGCCACATCCTGGCTGGCATCTCTCCCCTGTCCAGAAAATGGATTTCGAGGCTTAGCGCACAGCTGCATAAGAAGAAGATCAAATTTGAAGGACCCCTTGCTGGATGTGAGCTTCTCTCTCAGCAAGCCAGCAACACTGGATGTATCCATGGTAGAGTCATCCAATGCCAACAGAGTGTTGTGCTCCCTTCAGTCTTTGCTGTTGTTCCACACATTTACTTCCAGTCACGTGGTTCATCCACGTTGTGCTGATTGGCAAGCTGATGGGCTGAAAGCCATCTGCACTGCTCCAGTACATGGTTTGCATGGCTTGTGTAATTTCAATGTGTTGCAACCCGTTCCACTGTGCTGCAAAACACAACAGTGGCAGAAACTGTTGCCCTCTGGCACCGCGGATGCAGACAAGCACTCAGCTCAGGGACGAAGACTGTCGCCCGCTGGCACTGCAGGTGCGTGCATGCTTTGAATTACAATCCAGGAGGCCAACTGCATCACGCTGGTGTGTCTATTGGAAACCTGCCAGCCATAGTACCAATGGGGTGTGAGCATCCCGAAGGCTTGACTGCTGGCAATTTAGCCTTAGGCATGATAGCTCAGCTGTCACTCAGGTGTGCATGGGCAGGAGTCAGCCTATCAAGATTCCAATTTGCTTGCACAGAGACGCTGAGTCCAGTACTGTGTCCCACCTGTGCCGAGTCGTCCGGCATGCCACCTGGAGAGTGTTGGCTTCACGTTGTGTATACCCAGGGATGCTGGTTGCACACAAGCTGCTTTTGCATTTCCTACGGAGGAAGTTAGCCCAACTGTCATGTTCAATTGGCAGGCACCAACACAAAAGTGACAAAAGTTGACAATTGACACTGGAGACGCATACACAGCACTGCACCGCCGTTACTTGTGCTTCATGTAAAGTGCTGAACGGCCAGATCGCCTGCGAGGTGCAAGGGCCCTATTTTTGTTTTCCAAGGCAAATAAAATATAGGAAAAATGCCCACCCACAGCTGAGCTCATAACACACTGCCGCGGGAAAAATACAACATGGTGAAATTCTTAACTTTCCACCGACTGCCGGATCAACAAGGCCTGATTCGAAAGGCCTTCAACAAGGCCTGATGCGCGTCTCCAAAGACAGCGGAGGTGTCAGCGGACCCGCTGGGTCAGTACCGGGCGACTCCTCAGGAACCAATGTGTACGTCATTCAACTCAACGCACTCAGCAAAAAATTCCGCAGCTCACGGCGTTTTGCGCGCCCACAAGCGAACAGCGGATGCCAGCTGCCCGCGGCGGACACGGCAACAGGCACTTGAATAGAGGCAGCAACCTAAATCCAGCCCCCAACAGAAATTTACAACTGTGGCTGAGCTGTCGCCGGGCCGCGGGAGTCAGCACGCCAGGCACCTTGTCGAGTGCGCCCGCGCGTCAGTGTGTCCCCCTCCACGCCAGACCACCCTCCGCTGTGGCGCTGTGAGGAACGGCAGAATACGCGGGAAGCTGGAGCACGGTGGGTGCGTGGAGCATTCTTGGTCACAACTGGGCAAGCAGTCCCAATTTGTCCCAATTTGTTTGACAGGACCATCCCGGCTGACGTAACAGGCACCTTTTAGGTGCTGTCGGTCCAGCTCCACGTACATAACGACAGCGCCGTGATCTGTTCGCAATGATAACTGTTCCGTCGTATTCGTGAGAGTCCGCGGCTCCGCTGTTCCCGCTCCCGGTCCCCAATATTCCAACGGGTCCGAAGGTCCTGCAGCGAACAAGATTGGGAGGGGACTCTGAGGTGAGCATCCCCGTCTTGCTTCCAGCGCTCTCTCCTTGAGGGCGTGGCCACTTGGGTTGGTGGAGCGAGGCTCTGCGAGTCCTGACCTTTCTTGTCTTGCTGGCACAGTGTTTCTGTTCGTAGACTCGACACGGTCTTGGAAAACGTGTTGAACTTTGTCAGAGTTGTGCAGGCTGCTGGATTGGAAGTTCTCAGGTTCTGGGTACCTCCAACGGGCACTGCGCACCAGACAGCATGCGATAAATTCAATGCCTCCCAAGAGAGCCGCCGGTGTCATTGACTGGGGGTTTGACTCGCAGGCTGAACCCCGTTGCAAATGCACCTATGGCAAACGCCAATTCATCGTCGTCCTTGGCACCGATCGTAGCCGGGGCGTCCTCTTCGAGGCAAGCTGCGGCCAGCGGGGGGAGCGGACTCAAGAATAATGAAGTTCCTTTGCTGGAAATTCAGGCGTGGCAGGAGTGGCATTTGGGTGGGAATCACCTTCGATGTGGATCCTGGAGGCCGCCTGACGTCAGCGCGGGCCCTGCGGTTTCCCTTCTGCCATGCCCAATCGACACTGCGGTCCGCAAGGAGAACTGCTGCGCAACAGCAACGTTTATTTACCGGGTCTCTACACAAGGTACATGCACAGCAAGCGAGGTGTGCCAGGGCGTGGCTTCATTTAGTGGCGTCCTGCCCTTTTGCCTGGCGAACCTTACAGTTGCTCCAGAGCCTCGGCCCATAGCCCTAGCTGGAATTCGATTGAGTTGATGCCAATACAACTGTCAAAGTATACCTGTTTGATTCCACAATATTGCAACACAGTGGAGAGTACTGTTGAGTACAAGATGCTTCAGTTCCTGGGGGAAAAAGCCTTCGTTTTGTAGAGCTTCTATGTGAGATGAATCCTGACACGTCTGCTGCTGTGCACGCTGTCTTCTGCCTGGCTGGTATTTGTTGTTGCCTAAACACTGGCTTTGTTTGCAATTGTCGTTATACTTGACACAGCACTACCCTTGGTTCATTTGAGTGCAGTTGGGCTGTTTGCTGCAGAGGTTGCCATACCCAAAAGATGGCTGTGGCGATCCTTTGTAGTACCTGTTGCAGTATGTGTCATGTTGTCCACATGAAAACACTGCAGCAAAACCATAGTTGGGCCTGTCACAGCAGAGTCCAGGCCCGTATTCGTTTGCCAGGTGTATTGGATATACCCTGCATCACAGATCTGGCACACTTCCTGCTTGGCATCCTGTGTGGTATAGAAGTCCCTAACGTCAAATGGTTTTGCATGCTTCTCTAAAGCCTCTCTTCCATCGTTAGTAGCCTATTGATGCGCTCCAAGTCCTTGCTTGAAGTACCCCAAGGAGGTTCAAGACTCCTCATTTTGTCCAGTAGGACATCGAGGAAGTATGAAATTCCCTGGTTGTATTGCCATCGTACAGCAGAACTGCCAAATGGCATTTGGGGCTCCTGCTTGATGCACAAACCCCCACTCCAATCACACAATTGTGAAGTGCCCTTATCTGTAGCAGCAGGCTACCAGATTGCAACAAAACTTGCTGCAAGGGTCTGACACTTTGAGATCACCTTATGGTTTTACAGATTCCGCGTGTTCCCAAAATGGTGCCCAACCAAAGGCTGCAGCAAAGCCCAATGTGGCAAATGTCCACAAATTCAACAGCCATGGACAGAAAATCAGACTGAACAGTCCAATTTGACTGTGTTTCTGGATTGTGTACCAGGCTTGAAAACTATCGGTGCCTTCAAGGCTGTTTGCGCTGTGCAAGCACAGCTCATTGTCAGCAGCAGTAACAAAGAAGTTTCAACCTGCCATCAGCATCTTGACCATTGTTACTAGTATTACAGCACAGAAGATCTGTCTGCACCTCCTGCTGCGAAACAAGTGTGACTGGTTGAGGCAGCATCAACAACATTCTTCACCAAGCGATGATGGCTACAGCTTTCCATTTCCTGTTCTTACCGCTTGGGGTAATTGGCAGATATGCGGTTCAGGTTGAAAAAACATCTCACCATGCCACCCTGCTTGGGTTCACCAGTTAGCGTTGCGACCTCAGACATCCTGCTCTGGCTGGACTGCATTCATGAACACAAGTATGGTCAGAATGCCCTGGCATGGCCCCGCATCACCATACGCGAATATGACACTTGTCCACCAAAATTTTCTGTGTGCATCACACAATATATCTGTGATGCATTGCATCTATAGGGGCGTTGGTATGTCCATGAAGGTGGCATAAGGCAGGAATCCATCAATTTGAGATTGTACAGGTTGTGATTCAGCCATTGAATATACCTGCTCATAAAATGTGCTCCGTGCAACAGCAAACCCATCATCGTTGTGCCCAGATGGCGTGCTTGCTGGATCCTGGCTGGCAGCTCTCCCCTGTCCAGAAAGTGGATTGGAGGCTTAGCACACAGCAGCACTGGCATAACATCAATTTGAAGAATCCCGTGCCGGATGTAAGCTTCTCTCTGGGCAAGCCAGCAACACTGCCTGTACCTGTGGTACAGGTATCCAATGTCAACAACAGAATGTTGTGCCTTTTCCTCAGTATTTGCCGATGCTTCATACATTTGCTACCAGTCATGTTAGCCATACATGTTGTACTGTCCGGCAAGTTGGTGAGTCGAAAACCATCTGCATTCCTTCGCTATCATGTTGCTCTGCATGGATTGCACAATTTCAACACAATGCAACCAGTTTTGTTGGACTGCAAACACACAACAGGGACAGAAACGTTTCTCCTTGTGCGCTGCAGATGCATATAAGCGCTCTTCTCGGACAAAAACTGTTGCTCTCTGGCACTGCAGCTACATACAGGTGCTCAGCTACAGTCAGGAGGAGAACTACTACACCCTGGAGTGTCTATTTGAAAACCGGCAGCCACGGCATCAAAGGGCCGTGAATGCCCGACCTCTGGCAGAGAATCGGCATTGGCAATTCTGCCTTGGGCATGGTCGGTCAGCTGGCACTCAGGTGTACATGAACAAGGAGTCAGCCTATCAGGGTTCCATTTTGCCTGCACCAAAGCAATGATTTGAGCACTGTGCCCCACTGCGCCGAATCGTCCTGCATTCCGCCGGCAGAATGTTGGCTTCTACGTTGTGTATACTCAAGGGCACTTAGTTGCCCACGAACCACATTTGCATATCCTGTGGTGGAAGTTAGTGCAACCGTCGTGCTGCACTGGCGAACACCGGCACAATGGCTGGCAATTGACACTGGAGACGCGTACACAGCACTGGACCCTCGCGACTTGTGCTTCCTGTAGAAAGCTGCCCAGCCTCGTCGCCTGCACGTTGCGGGGGCCCTATTTTCCTTTGGAAGGCAAACAAAACGAAGGAACAAAGCCTACCCACATCTGAAGTCAAAATACTCTGCCGCAAGGAAAATATTACAAGAACTGGCGAGTCTGAATTTGACATACTGTTCAACCATGCCTGATTCGAGCCCATACGCATCTCAAAAACCACTGAGGTGTCAAAGGACACCCTTGGTAAATACCAGGAGAGTCCTACGTCACAAATGAATACGTCAACCAACTCATTGCATGAAGCGTAAATTTCTGCAGCCCACAGCGTTTGCGCCCCACAAATGAAAAGCAGATGCCAGCTGCCCGCTTCGGACACGGCAAAAGCCATTTGAATAGAGGCACCAACCGAAATCAGTTCCCCCACCGAAATTTACAAGAACAGTGGCTGACCTCTTGCCAGGACCTGCCGTGGTAGTCACTAAGACAGGCACCTTGTCGAGTGCGCCAGTGGGTCAGTGTGTCCCCCTCCTCGCCAGACAACCCTCCGCTGCAGCTCTGAAGAGCGGCCGAATATGTGGGAAGCTGGAGTGCGGTGGGTGAGCGTGGAGCATTTTTGGTCACAACTGGGCCAGCAGTCGCAATTTGCCTGGTTTGACAGAACCACCCCCTGCTG